TGTGTTCCTGTGTCCTGCCTGGGCGGTCCACATGTCCTGTCTGCGCATGCTGGCGCTCCATGTGTCCTGTCTGCGTGAGCCGATGGTCCACATGGGCTGGTGGTCCATGTGTTGTGTGGCCGGGCCGATGGTCCACGTGCCCTGTCTGCATGAGTAATAGTTATCAGTGGTACAGGCTTACTGCACGCTCCTACTGGAGGTAAACATTTAAATTTAGTGGAAGAAGTGTCCGGCAGTGTATGTTTCTGCAGTATAGCATGTTTCATGAAAGCCAACATACTATAACATGAACACGTGCACATCTCATATTGCACTTATGGCTCTTTATCCCATTCTCCTTTCTGAACATGCCGTCATACATATTTACATGTGCTTTTGCATGTTGAAGCACTTTTGTTTATACTTGCAAAGCAATTTTTTGTAAGCAGACTCACAGGGCCCATACATTTTCATTGTAAACCATGTAACAAGTATCAAAACTGGAGCAGACAGAATCTAGAGCAGTTGTCCATGGCAACCGATCAGCTTCTCTCTTTCATTTTCAATTCCCTCCATTGTTTCCATAAGTGCCCATTATTACCAGTTCCTACAAGTGACAGTGTCTCTGAGCATGCTCCCCCCCTTCACCCCCATATAGTCTCAAATACTCCTTGTTCCTCTGCAGAGGCACCCCATGCCCCGAGAACCACTAGCCCATGCATGCATACCACTATTTCAGGTATGAAGGAGCTTGTGACTGTTGCTAGGGCTGAGAACTGTTTACATGACTGGTGGAGTGGTGTCACCGTTTCCCAGAATCACTCAAACAGCCGATCTGATGGCTGCAGAGGGGCAAGGGGGCTACAAGGAAGCACAGGTAAGGGAAGTATAAGGGGGTCAGGGATGCCTTTTCCAGAGACACTGGTGGATAAGGTGACACTGAGGGAAATTTACTAAGACTGCAGCAGCTGTGCATGGAAACCAATTAGTATCTATCTATCTATAAGCAGACATTACTATGGACAGCTGCTCCAGATTCTGTCTGCTCTGGTTTAGTAAATTCTCCCCAATCTCTTTTTTAAGTGTATATAAAACCAAAGGGTTTTCTTTTTCGGTTCTGTATAGTGCCAGAAAGGATTAGAACCCCGGTCTGGTATTTAATGCTGTCTTTGGCCCTGCTGAGGAGATTCATCCTCACTGTTGGTCCTGGTCATTGTCTTTAGTACAGAAAGTGATGGGAAATCCACAATGTTTGAGTTGTCACAGAAACAGAAGGAGAGGGAAATCTCTCAATAGGAAGACCAGTTCTGGTGACAGTTGTCTGAGGGAATCTCCTCTGACTTTGGAGAGATCTCCTCTTAGTTCCTCTTATTCTGGGGTCTTCACCATTCCCTGTGCTTTCCAAAACTACAAAGAACATTTTTGGGGCTCTACATATACGTTAAGCAATAGAGCCTGTATACTTAGCATAGTAAATGTTAGGGACACTTTGGGTGCCCAGGGGTGTGGGTAATAAAAAAAAACCAAAACTACTTGTTCAAGGGCTAAAAGCAGGGGCCCGATCTTGTCTCATGACAATCTACTTGTCCTGATACAAAAAAAATAGTTTTAATCAAAACCGTGCTAAATAGCACTTCTCATTGCTCAGCGCAGTCACCTGACCGCACTCACCAAGAGTGCTCGCAATATGCGAGTGAAATTCCAAATGCGTAGTGCAGGGTTGCGCTGGAAAGCAGTACAGGGTAGAGATAATACACTCGTACTGGCAGAGGGAAAGAACTGTTCCCCAAAAGATGAGTATAGCCGGGGGAAGAGATGGGGCCAGATTTGGGTCATTGAGCGGGTAATTCTATTTTCCCTAATTACCTGGGAAACTGAACTTACCCTTTAATACACATTGTGCATGTTAGAGAGCGCTGCTGCTTGGTTACCGCAATATGGCACACAGTGGAATGGTGGCAGCACTCAACGCACACACATAATGTCCTACGCATGCATTTATTTGCATGCACGATGGTGGGGGTGGCAGGGTTTAAAAAAAAAAAAAATCGATTTTTGTAATTTTTTTTTTCCTTTTTTTTTTTTTTTCCTTCCCTTAATTTTATTACTATCACACAGGGGCTTACATGCCCCTATGTGATGTGATAGTGTGGGGGTGACAGGTTCTCTTTATGGAACCTGTCACCTCCAACACAGAACAGATCTATGCAGTTTGACAAGTGGCGCTGTAATTACAGAGAGCAGAGCAGAGAACGGACGTTCTTCACTCTGCTCCCCGCTCTCCATCCTGAGCTCATTTGCAGTGGTCCTGGGTCCCCCATAAGAGTGGGACATAAGATAGAAAGTCACCATTGGTGCAGTAACGACAGTTCTTTTCATTTCTTTTCAGTTCCCCTGTGGAATTGATTAGAGATTTTCTTTTTATTTCAATGAATCATTACTTAGTAAAGGAAAACAATTAATAAGAAAAACATCTGCTTCTTGATTTGATTGCTTGACATAACATTTGTTTTTATTTATTTTAGTTTTTGTGTTGTTTGTGGAATACACATTTAAAGTGACACTAAACTCAGAAGTTAAAGCATAAAAATGCATTCAAGTACCCTAAGGCCTCGTTCACACCTGAACGTTTTGTAGCGCGTTCTACGCACAACGAACGCTCTACAAAACGCTCAAACATCTAAATCCCATTGTATTCAATGGGTCTGGTTCACACCTTGGCGTATTTCAGCCCGTCCCTAACGCTACAAAACGGCCCACGCCTGAAAAGGTACATGTACTACTTTGGCCGTTTTTGTTGCGCATTTCCATTGGGATACAGCCAAGTAGCCCTCGGAAACGCGCGTTTGTCGCACAATTTTTTTTACCGCGAATCGCGGTAAAAAAACGCGCGACAGATGCGCATATGCAATACGCCTAGGTGTGAACCAGGCATCACTATTATAGGGCTGCAGCTAACGATTATTTTCATAATCGATTAGTTAGCCGATTATTAAGTTCGATTAATCGATTAATCGGATTAAAAAAAAAAAGGCTCCAGTGATGGACTACTAGTTTCTATTGAGATTGTAGTCCATCACGGGAGCAAGCTTGGCGCGGTGGAAGTAAAAAAAGAGTGTAGTGTGCAATATAGTACATTATACAGCGGCGCAGTACAGAATACCAGCAGCTATAGAGGAATGTAGCAATAGTACATTATACTATAATGTACTATTGCTAGGATTTGTAGTCCTCTATAGCTGGTGGTATTCTGCAGTGCGCTGTATAATGATTATACTGCGCAATGCAGATTACCACTGACCAGTTATAGAGGAACACCAAATCCCAGCAATAATACATTATACAGGGTGTTTAATATATTATTGCTGGGATTTGTTGTTCCTCTATAGCTGCTGGTGTTCTACAGTGTGCCGCTAAAACAGGTC